GGCCAGCCCCCCGCGAGGCCGGGCCCTCCGCTGCGCCGGCTCCTGGTCGCTCTGCTGCCTGAATGAGCCAGGACCAGCTCTGGGGTTTAGGATTTAATTCAATGCCAGTCTCGGGGAAGTTGCAGATGGATGAGAGCCCACGACAGAGGCACGGTCGTTCCTCTGCGGGGTGATGTGCTGCTCCTGGCCCCGCGGGCCAGCGGCCGTCCTTGTGCTGGGACTCTGGGGCTACTGCTGCTACACGGGGAGCGTTTGGAACGCGCCCGCTCAGCTGCACAGAGGGGTGGTGACACTGAGGTCAGGGGGTGCGCCCAGCGCCGGTGTGAATCTCAGCTCTGGGTGAGGCCAGCCTGCGACCGCCGCCTTACACGGTGCTGCACGAGACGGACCCTCCTGGGTAGATGCTCATAAGCCCTGCAGGCACCGTCGCTGTGCAGTCCCCTACAGGTACCCTGAGCGAGAGCTTGTTGGGCACAGTGATCATCCCAGGCAGTGTCACCATGGGAAAATACTTTCAGGCTTTCATAGGTAAATCATTCATGTGGCCAAGTGACAAATTTTCAAATTGCAGCACAACTTTGTCAATTCTGACTTACTCCATTACCTGCCTTCCCCTGGTCAAAGTAATAAATATTAACTGGGTCAATTTTTAACATGAGATTCTCCTTTGTTCAGGTAGATGACCACTGAGAATTAAAAATGTGGTCTTGTCACTCTCCCTACTTCCCAGTGATTGTTTACTGCTAAATTAGTCGGGAGAGAGCATAATTGTCTTCTGGCTAGAAGGTCTGCTCTGAACGCTGATTTATTGCTCAATTCATTTGGTCCCATGAATCATGTTTCTAGGAGAGGCTGTGGCCTTTCCTCATCTTCCCCAAAGGGTTAACAGGTCCTGCTGTCCTTTAAAGGAGTAGATTCTTTAAAGAGACTAAATGCAGGAAATAAGTAACCAGCTACTTTATGACCTCATGCACATTTACCTGTGATCACTGGAAGGAGGCCTATGGCTGTGTCTTCTGGACTTCTGCCCCCAGGACACAGAGAGGAGCTTCTAACTGGAAAAACAGCAAACTACTGATCCGTCCTCTGGAAAGGCAGCACAGCATTTCATCAGTGTTTACATACAGCATGGCTCTGGGAAGCCTGGAGTGACTTGGGCTGTTTTACCTGGGAAAGCAGCTCTGCACGCATCCATTTGCCACGGGTGGCTGGGCAGGATGCGTGAGTGCCCAACGTGGGTGGCTTGTAGCCAGCAGCCTTCCTGGGAACAAATTCAGGATGTGTTAAACAGAGCTATGCAGATAGAAACCCACGTAAGTGAGGACACAGAAACTTACCTCAATAGCTAAGGACTCTTAGGTCACTCCTGTTCCCACAGTGATTCCCTTTCCTGTCCCTATCTTGAGTTTCTCTCGAGCATCTGCACAGTTCTTCCTACCCCTGTAATCCTTCACACCTTTCAGTGCTGGCCCAGCTCTCGGTACAAATGTATCACTAGCCACTCAGTAACTGAACAAATCGGTTTTTAATAGACTACAGTAAGCAAGTGCTTCATCAACCTGCACAGCAGACATTGCATCAAGACGCTGGTCCCTCCCTAAGGGCCACAGCAGCACGTGGCAGCACCACTGAAGTTTTCCAGTTTTGGCTGTATGCTGTTCTTGGATGTGAATCTGTAAATAAATTCTAGCAGAGTAAGCAAAACAAGTACTTGAACAGAGGAATATTTGAATTATTCTGGGTATGTCATATTTAAAGCCAGACATCCATCTTCTCCCCGTGTAATCTTAGCACCATGTTAGGTTATTTTATAACTGTTAGTTTTCCAAGTATATTTAAAAAAAAATGCTGCAGGCCTCTTGTGCAGGCTGAAGCCTGTCTCCTGACAAGGGCAAATCCATTCTCCATGTAGAACAGTGAAGAGGCACCATATCCCAGGAATTGGGTGGTTCCCAGGGCTCCTGTCTGTAGCCACAGGACGCGCTGTCCCTGCCACCCTCCTGGCAGTGGCAGGTCACCCACCTTGTGCCTGGAGCAGGTAGACTGCAGCTGCCAACTCGGGCTAGAGCAGCAGTTAAGGCAGCATGTTCAGCCTTGCAGAGGAGCTGCTCAGCAGCAGGAGCAGTAAGTTAGCAGTTCAGAGGTCTCCTCACACGCTTTCACCTTCCTCCTCCTCCTCTCCGTCCTCTGCGCTCTGAGAGCCTTTGTTCTCTGAGGGCAGAAGAGGCTGGTGCTGACATGACTGATGTCTGTCTGCACTCCTCCACGAGGCGTGCAGGTCTGCCCTGCCTTGCTGCAGGAAGAGGGGCAGGAGGTCGGGGGTGAAGGGCATGTCCCTGAAGGCATGCAGGAGGAAGATGCCAGACACGATGGTGAGGAAGCCACTGATGGTGCCAATGATATTGTCTAGCACCATGTGTTGCCACTCCTTGAAGAGGATGGCAGAGCACATCATGACTGCTGTGGTGAACAGCACGTAGTAAATGGGTGTGACCACAGATGTGTTGAAGATGTCCAGAGCTTTGTTCAGGTAGTTGATCTGGACGCTGATGCAGATCACCAGGCACACCAGGAGCACCCAGCCCAGTGGTTCTTTCAGGACTGGCTTCCCAGAAAACAGTTCTTTCAGAGCAATCCCCAGGCCTTTGACACAGGACACGGAAAGGGAGCCAATGGCGGAGCAGACCAAAACATAAACCAGGACGTTGCTCTGTCCGTAACGGGGTCCAGCCACAAAGATGAGCAGAAGGGAGCTCACCAGGACACACACAGCAAATACAATGAATCCTTGGGGAAAGAAGAATTAAAGAGCTCTATCAGAGAACAGCAGCAACAGTGACAGATGCATCTGAAGAGCTAGTAGAGATGGAGGACAGGCAGGTAACTGCCCCATCAGTCTTTTTAGCCTCCACCTGTAGGGACCAGGTTTGGGAAGCAGAGTTGGTCTCCAGCCTGAGCAAAGCTGCAGAGACAACAGCAGCTATTTACAGTGCTGATCAGGCTGACAAGTCAGCCTGTCAGGGGACACAGCCAACCGTGCTGGAAGATGTAGGGGCACAGCCAGGCTCTACGGCACTAGTGGAGGTGAAGAGCTTGTTGACCAGGAAGACAAAGGGGTGGAGGTTTGCAGGGGGCCCAGGAGGGTGGCAGGAGGCTTGGGAAGCCCTGTCTGAACTCTGGGTTGTGGTGGGATAAAGAGGAAAGCGCCACATCCCAGGAGTGACAGGCCTCTAATGAGCAGCAGCATCTACTTGTTACTCTGCTTTGCTCTTCCCCCTGTGCTTCCTTCCTCCATCTCCTCTGGCTTATTCTGCCTTTCATGCTGTTGCCCAAATCATATCCCTGCAACCTGATTCATCCTCTAACATAAATATCAGGACTACTTGATCTTGAGCGTAACTCCTTGGGTCACTCGTTCATCTTTGCCTGAAGTTCCTCCCCTGTCTTCCCTCAGCCACGCTACTCCCACTCTTGTATAAATCAATTCCCTCTCCTATCCCAGCACTGCCACAGGCCAACCCTTTCTGCTGACAGCTGCAGCTAATTCCCATGCTCTTCACTTTTTGCATCTACACCTCATAGACAGTACAAAAAAAGCACACTTGTTAACTGTTAATGACCCAAGCTTTCATCCTTGCTCCAGCATGGACCCAGTGACTTGGGAACATCACCCAGACTCCCTCTCTGCAAAGTGGGGTTCCTGTCTGCTTCTTTCATCCAGGGTCAAGAGGACTTGACAGTCCTAAAAAGTCATTCTGAAGCTGACATATGTTTTGAGCTAGTTAATAAGGTGTAAATCCTCTGAGCACATGCATTAAATTTTATTTAATACTTTTATTTAAGTACCTGGATCTTTCAGCTTCTCTGCCATTGACTCCAGGCTGGAAACCTCTTCTTCCTGCGGAGCATGGATCACCATCACTGTGGAGCCCAGAACACTCAGGATGCAGCCAATCTTCCCATGAACATTCAGCCGCTCATTCAGGAAGGTGGAAGACAGAACTGCACTGAAAGATAGTGGAAAAAAAAAAGCAAAACCAATTAGGCCAAAGGATGGAGCACCTGAGGGAAGCAGAGCAACTGCCTTCGCTACTAAGGGGTGGCAGGTGAGGTAAGGGTGTTTCTGAGGCTGCTTACCTAACAAGGACACTTAGAGCACCCAGTGGCGTTACCAGCGTTGCAGGGGCAAAGGCATAGGCAGCAAAATTTGCTGCTTCTCCAACTCCCACTGCAAGAGGAACTCTGTCAGGCGAGCATCAAAGTAGGAACAATTCAGCATAATACAAGTTTGAGTGCAGTCATAAAAGAGCCTCGGTTTCCACCTGAGCATCCTGTGTTTCTCTGAGGTGTGTCATGCAAGCAGGAAAGAACAGCACCAGCAAGAACAAGCAGAAACTTGATATAGGTTCTCTTGAGAAGAGAAGGCTCACGGTTATCCACGGTGATCCTAAATCACACATGGCTATGCAGCTGAGCAGCAACCATGGAAAAATATTTCCAAAATGTCCTCAAAGCTGAAAGGAGTTCTGACCCATTTCATATTTCTAAGTCACCTTCTACTCCTAGAACAGCTTTTACAACTTTTTAAAGGGTAAATCAAGTACAATTGGTTATTAACATTGAAAAGTGTAGAAGAGAGCTGTTGACATCACTGTAGCACTAAGCTCACGGTGCTGGATTGCCACAGTGCAATGCGTTAAAACTACATTGTCTGGGCATTACACTACCATTTCAGAAACACTTCACCCAACCCAGTTACACCAGCTCCTCAGCTTCTGTTTAGCAGAGAAACTTGGTAACACATGAGACTTTAGAATATTTTAGTTATAATTAGATCGACAACATCCTCAGACACTCAGATAAAAATCAAGCAGACAACAATCATCAGAATGGCACATGAAAGCGGCTGGACACAAGGACAAACACACTCTCCAGGGCGAGTACTTACTGCAGAGCAGCCCTGTCCACCAAAGCCATTCCTGCAGGTACCCGTGACCTCCTTGCCCTAAGGAAGGAAGAGGAACAAGAACACTCAGATGAAGGTTTCTTCACGCCAAAGGTTCGTTATCCTGCCAGAACCGCCTCGGAGAAGCGGGAACAGCCTGATCTCTATGTGCAAGGCTTCTCGTCACACAGGCACGGGCAAGCACAGCTTCTTTTACCCGAAAAGCCAAGATTTTGTCCCCGGTTCTTCCCCAAAAAGCCCCATCAGGAAGGGAGGGGACAGGCCGGCCCCGGCCCAGCGCTGTCCGGGCGGGGGCTGACGTGGCCCGAGGTGTCCGGGGGAGCAGCTGCGGTGACAGCCCCGGGGGTTCTGCCCAGGAGCCGG